ACTCTCCAGAAGTATTAAGTGGGGAAAAAAAAATGGGTGGAACGTGTGTGTGTGTGTGTGTCCTGTTTATGTATGCATAGGATAATACATAGAATATTTGACTATAGCTGGAAGAATATCTAAGAAACTGTTTACAACGGTGGTTTCTGGTAAGGTGAACTAGTTCACTGCGGGACAGGGTAGAAGGAAGGCTTTTTACTATATGCCGTTTCCTGCCTTTTGAATTTTGTACCATGAGTATATTTTACCTATTCAGAAAATTACAGAATTGTTAAAAAAAATTTTTTTTTTTAAGATTATTTATTTATTTATTTGACACAGAGAGAGAGACAGCGAGAGAGGGAACACAAGCAGGGGGAGTGGAAGAGGGAGAAGCAGGCTTCCCGCCGAGCAGGGAGCCGGATGCAGGGCTCAATCCCAGGACTCTGGGATCATGACCTGAGCCGAAGGCAGACGCTTAACGACTGAACCACCCAGGCGCCCCAGAACTGTTAAAAAATTTTTAAATAAATTCAATGCCCATTCATAGGAAACATTTTATTGAAGATCTTTAGAGTAATTAGCTCTCTAATTAGCTTTCCATTTCTCTAAATCAGATTAATTTCAATTCCTTTGAGAAGTCTTTGTTTCCCCTGAAATTGTAGGCCATTTTTTTCCATGTTTATTTTTCAGGATAGAAAGGTCCATAGCTTTCATTAGATTATTAAAGGTAACTCTGATTGAGTCAAGCAGAGAAAGACAATTATCATATGGTTTCACTTACATGTGAAACATAAGGAATAGCATGGAGGACATTAGGAGAAGGAAGGGAAAAATGAAAGGGGAAAATCAGAGGGGGAGAAAACCCAGGAGAGACTGTGGACTCCGGGAAACAAACTGAGGGTTTTAGAGGGGAGGGGGGTGGGGGGATTGGTTAGCCTGGTGATGGGTATTAAGGAGGGCACGTACTACATGGAGCACTGGGTGTTATGCACAAACAATGAATCAGGGAACACTACATCAAAAACTAATGATGAACTGTATGGTGACTAACATAACATAAAAAACAAAACAAAACAGTGCCTTGTTTCTTCTCCCTTTTTTGCGGGGAGGAGTGTGAGGGGGGGAGGGAGGTTAACAACTTTACATGGTCCTGAAGAAGAGCAATGGCAGTAAAGCATCTGGTTCTTCTCTCTATAGATCACAATTCAAAACAGTATGAAAGGTATTTATTGAGTGTCGGATGGTTTCTGATCAGTTTTTACCTGTTTGCAGCTGTTCTATTGTATATATCCTTTACTGGAAGCTATTTCAAACTCTTTGGAGATGGAGACTGGGTATAAAGTATAAATAAACAGAACCAGATATTAAAATTAAAAACAAGAACTAAGAGAGAGTAGGATGACTATCTGTACCATGAGACATTGACCCTGGAAGGAGGCAGCTCTGCTTGATTCCAAAGGCAGAGTTCTGGGGCGCCTGGGTGGCTCAGTCGATTAAGCATCTGCCTTCAGTTCAGGTCATGATCTCAGGGTCCTGGGATCGAGTCCCACATTGGGCTCCCTGCTCAGCGGGGAGTCTGCTTCTCCCTCTCCCTCTGCCCCTCTCTCCACTCATGTGTGCATGCTTTCTCTCTCTCAAATAAATAAATATAATCTTAAAACAAAACAAACAAACAAAAAAAACAAAGGCAGAGTGCTGATGCCCATGATGTCCATGTGATGGAAACTAAGTGCCGCTGGACTGAGTGATTAGAGGCTGATATCTAAGTTAGACCTGGGAACCTTCGGCTACCAGGTAAACCTTCTGGCCAAAGGAAAGGTGACCATTTATCTTCTGGTGGTGGGAAGGCCTCTTTGGCTGCAGGAGTCACAACATTTTTCTGCCCACCTCTGATTTCAGTGGAGGTGAGGAAGCATTTCCTAACATTTGTTCTTTGGTTAAGCTAATACGCCCACATACTATCTCCCAAGATATTTACCTTGGTGTTTGACTCCTCTAAGCTACACTACCATATATCCTGCTGAATATTTTATGCCAAAGCAGCTTGTTTTCTGTGCCTCTCTACCTGCCGGCAGACATGTTTTCAGTTTTAAGTGGACAGAGTCTGTCAGAAAGGTTCTAGGAAAGTCCCCAAACATGGTAGGCTGATGTGTCTTAAGAACAGAAGTTCTTAACATCATTTGCCAATGGGAGTGCTCAAGTTAGAAGTTTTGGCAAACAAAATCAACAGCAATTATTAATATTTAATATGTTAAGGTGCTATAATCATTACACTTTTATTGTGCTTTCCCTCTCTGACCTTTTCCTTCACCTTTTAAAGTCTCCCATCTAACAACTAGACGTGATCTCAGAGCCCTTCAATTCAGATGCTACAGTTTTCCATCGGAAGACATGGGGGCATAGAAAGGCTCAGTGCTCAGCTTCAAACTACGCAGCCATTTAGTGGCAGAACTTGATTTCAGTGCTTATTATACCAACTGAGTCTGCAAAAAGTGTAGAATGTGCTGATGTTGATGCCTGCAGGGTGGGCATCAGGATTGTGAAGGAACACAAAGGAATGAGATCAGCCTCTATTGGCCATGAATAATGGATTAGATACTGCGTGTGTGTGTGTGTGTGTGTGCGCGCGCACGCGAGCGCAAGTGTTTTAATACCAGAGGGAAAACAGAACATGTTTTCTCTAAAATATTAGTCATTTTTTCAAGAAACGTTTACTGTATGCAAGATACAATGGTAGCCATAGGGGATACAAAGATGATAGGACATGCTTCTTGCCCTACTTAATAAAGTAATACCATGTAGCTTTGATTTTTCAAGTGAGAAAGTATGTAGGAGGAGAATATGAAATTGCATTTACGATGGGAATGCATTTAGGGAAGAGAAAGAAAGAAAGGCACTAAAGGTAAATATTCTAATACTCTGTAACAATGAATTGATTCCCCTTTAAAGGGAATTTGATATATATTGTGAGATTATCCAAATTAGATACTTTAAGTATGGTTCTTTTGAAAGCAGATGATTCCGACTATGCAAGCTTTTTATTGCAGAATCCCCAGTCTAGGAAAATGATACGGTGAGGCTACAGCTGATGTTCATGACCTCGAGAATCTGAATACAGAACAGAGGAATGGGGTGAGGGTGGGAGGAGTAGAGACTGTTTAAGTTTTGTCTGCAGCCTGAGACTTTCAGATTTTCTTTTTTTAAAAAGATTTTATTTATTTATTTGTCAGAGAGAGAGAGAGAGCGCACACACAAGCAGGGGGGAGTGGCAGGCAGAAGGAGAAGCAGGCTCCCCACTGAGCAGGGAGCCCAAACTGGGACTCAATCCTAGGACCCTGGGATCATGACCTGAGCCAAAGGCAGACGCTTAATGGACTGAGCCACCCAGGTGTCCTTTCAGATTTTCTTTCAGATTCTAGGTCCCTGAATATTCTGCATAGTTGATGAGTGTTCCCATTTTATAGGTATAAGATATATCATCTTTATATGACTGTGTACTGTTTCTTTGTAAACATCTTGTGAAATTATTAGAATATTTACTTTCGGAGGAGGAAAAAAAAAGACCAAAAAAAAGACAAAGAAAGACATATAAGACCTCATTGATCATCTAATCTACCCCTTCTGTTTTATAAGCAAAGAAGATTGGCCTCAATTAGCAGAACTGACTTATTCCAAACTCCATAGAATTTCTAGGAAAGTCCAGGCTTCCTGAGACGTCACTGGGCGCTACATGTGTGTTTGGAGGAGCACAAATTCTCTTTCATAAGTGGGAAATGACATCGGGAGAGGGCTACCGGCAGGAGGACGAGAACTCCCATTACTTCAGCCTCTGCTCTCAGGCTGTTCATGGTCTTGGAAAAAGCTGAGCAGGCCATCTCCAGGGCTGAGGACACTGACCTGAAACGACTTTCCTCTGGTGAGGAAGATTCTGAGGAGCTGCTGTGACCAAGGTCTGCACACAAGTGAGACTTTTATAGGTGACAAGATTCTCATTCAAGAAGACAAAATGCCTGAAAAAAGGTGAAACTCTGAGCCAAAAGACTCAGGATTGTTCTACCAATGTTCCCTTCCCTGCCTTTGCTGCAGGGTCTGTGTACCCTTTAAGAACTGCCTGTCCCCAGCGCCTGGGTGGCTCAGTCGTTAAGCGTCTGCCTTCGGCTCAGGTCATGATCCCAGGGTCCTGGGATCGAGCCCCGCATCGGGCTCCCTGCTCGGCTCCCTGCTCGGTGGGAAACCTGCTTCTCCCTCTCTCACTCCCCCTGCTTGTGTTCCCTCTCTCGCTGTGTCTCTCTGTCCAATAAATAAATAAAATTAAAAAAAAGAAAAAGAAAAAGAACTGCTTGTCCCTCCTGTTGGCTTGCTGTTGGCTTGCTGGTGAAGAGGAGCCTGCCTGTTTACAGCACCAAAAAGAACTGCTTGTCCCTCCTGTTTACTGGGAAAGCCACAGCACCAGACGCATGCCTGCCACGGAGCAGATACTCAGGAAGTATCTGTTGAATACATGAAAGAAGGGGGACTGAATAAAAAGCATTGTTTTTTGCCCTCAGAAGGTGTCCAACATTTGCTTTGAATATATCAGCACCTTTCCCTGGTACTAAGGCCTTTCCTTTCTAAGGCCAGAGGCTGATGCTCAGAGCATGTCTGTTATCAAATTGAATTCAGAATCGTGATATCTCAACCCGAGAAATGTAGTCGGAATTGCACATGAAACAGAAGCAAACCACAGTCTGTATCCTGTCTTGCTTGCCTGAAGCCCCAAAGGGCCTGGGGGAGCCCCTAGAACTACCAGCCTTGACGTTCATCCCCATCGACCCTCGTTCATCCCCATTGACCTCGCTGACTGCATCCTCTCACCCAGTAAGCTTTGTGGGAATCCTTCCCGGGAACCACCAAGCTTCTAGTAATTCTAAAACCACTGCTAAATCTTACTATGTTGCAACAAGACAGCCTTCACACAGTTGTCCATTTCTAGCTCACACCTTGATCTTGTTTTAAGACAGTTAAAATTGGCTACCTGCCTTCAGGTGATCCTGGCAGGTCAGAGAAGCAGTTTGTTGCTTCCCGACAGACTTGCAGTTGGGATTTTCCTCTTTCGATTCTGACTTGAGAGTTTCTCCTTTATTCACAGGGTTGTGAAGCCAAACCCCGTCCATCTGACACGACTGACGGTCAGTTGCTAGAAGAACAAGGCTACAGAGGACGGCACAAAGGCAGGCTCTGCGGACATCAGCGAGGGCCATGAAGGGGACGCTGGGCAGCGAGAAGACGTCCCAGGACATTGTTCCGAGGTAAATCTCACCTGTTCTGTCCGCGGGGGAGGGCAGAGAGGGGGCAGAGGGGAGAAGAACGGACTCTGCCTTTCTTGAAGGGAACTCGGAAGCGCCCAGACGGTGGCGGACAGCTCCCTCCCCCGCAGCTCCCCGCTCACCTCTGCGGTGGCCGTGGTCCCAGCTCCTCCGAGGTCTCGGCCGCAGCCCAGGCTGGACTCCGCTTCTCCCTCGGGCCCTACCTCGGCGGCTGCTGTCACTGCGCCGCTGCCCGACCGCGCGGTTCCCTGGTGGCCTGCGGAGGCCGGTCGCGGTGATCGAGTTACCCTGCAGCCCACTGGCTCGGGCCAGGCACGTGACCAGAGAAAAAGTTTGGGTCTGCGTGGACTGGAGACAAAAAACGCCCTTCTTCCCGAAGGACATCTCCTTAAAGCCAAGAGCAAATGCGCACTTCAAGTAGGAGCTTGAAAGAGCGCATCTGGCCAAACTCGGGGCTTTTTCCCCCTTCTTTTTAAAAACTTCCTTCATCTTCCTCAGCTTAAGATGCTGCTGTCCCAGGGAGGCAGGTGCATTAAAGGATGTGGCTATCAAAAATAAATAAGTAAATTAAAAAAAAAATGGGGCACCTGGCTGGCTCAGTGGATGGAGCCTGCAACTCTTGATCTCTGGGTCCTGAGTTCAAATCCCACCTTGGGCAAAGAGATTAATTTAAAAGAAAGAAAGAGGGCGCCTGGGTGGCTCAGATGGTTAAGCGTCTGCCTTCGGCTCAGGTCATGATCCCAGGGTCCTGGGATCGAGTCCCGCATCGGGCTCTCTGCTCCTTGGGAGCCTGCTTCTCCCTCTACCTCTCTCTCTCTGTCTCTCATGAATAAATAAATAAAAACCTTTAAAAAAAAATAAAAGAAAGAAAGAAAGAAAGAGGGCAAAAAGATTAATTTAAAATAAATAAATAAATAAATAAATAAATAAATAAATAAATAAATGATGTGGGTATCAGATACTGTGGTGGGCAGTCCAAGTGGATAAAAAGGTTACATGGACCAGAGGATCTCATTTGCTCATTTTTTTTATTCCTTCTGTTGCTGCTGAGGGCAGGCAAGGGAGGAAAGATGCATCAACTATTACTAGTGAGTCTAGGTGCAGGAAAGGTACACCTGTGGAGGTTAAGTGTACTTGTTGACTGAAACAGGTAACATGAGGATACAGGATCCATAACGTGAAATGGTGAGCACCTTTGAAAAAGAACTGAGTTTTGTTTGTAAACTTCTAAAAATTATTTTTGGAGAGGCAATATGTGCAACTGATATAAAATACAAAAATATCGAAGAGTGTATAGTAAAATGCCTTTTTATACTCTTCTCCAGTCCCCTAATTCTCCAAAGAGACACCCCTGTGACCAATGTTTGTATACCCATCCAGAGCTTGTCTATGTAAATACAAACATGCATGTCTCCCCCTCTTCCTTAGAAACAGCACACTATATATGCTTCTTCTGCTCCTTGCTATTTTCACTCAGCACACAAACATGGAAATTGTTCCATATAGTTCCTTTAAGAGTTACCACATTCTTTTTAATGGCTCCTGCTGACCCATTACCTACATGTGTCATTATTTGGCAAAAAAAAAAAAAAAAAAAAAAAGACCAAGGACCATGTGTTAGTTATCCTTCCTTGCTTAATTCCTGGCACAATGCAAGGGCTCAGGAAACATGCAATGCTTGCTTGCTCACAAATTAATTACATTTTGTACAACTTGCTCATGTTTTCCCTCCTCTCTCCTTTTGGAGGTAGCAATATTTTTTTGGAGGTAACAATATTTTTTCAATATTCCAGATATTTATATAATGTATATATTCCCCCACAACCAAGTCTGTCTCGTGCACTGCTCAACCTTGCTACCTGATCCAATGCCCATCTTAATCTAGCTCCTCTTATATAACATTATTCCCCACTACTTCCAATTTTCTAATGCTCTGAGTACCACTGTCATGCGTAAATGTTTATCGATCACTTACTATGTGCAAAAATTTTTTTTTCTACTTTCTGTTATCCCGACCTCTATGTCATTGCTCATAGACTTTCCCATCCAGATTTTCCTTCCTGATCCTGCCCATTATTCTACCTCTGGTTCTTTTCTTTCCGAATTTTTTTAGCTTATGTGGTCAGTGCTTCCCTAGAGTAGCAGGCAATTTTTTTTCTATAATCATTTCAAGTAAGAGCTTTATGTATTGCTACGGCATAACTCTGGCACACACTAGGTCCTCAGCAGAACCTGCATAAATGAGAAGCTCTCTCTGGTCCTCCTGGGTTTTCTCTCCATCCTGCCTTTGAGGAATTGCTCTTGGCTTTCTTGTTATCTCAAGGTCACCTCAGCCATCCCCCTCCCGGCTGCTCTCCTTTAAAGGAAGTGCTCTTGAGGAGAGGTCCAGAGATCCTGGAAGAAAGTGGGTCTGGGTTCAAACTGCCATCCACCAACTTTATGACTTTGGCTTCTCTGAGTCTGTTTCCTCATCAGTCCTTCTTTGACCCCTAAGTAATTTCCCCTATCTTCCCTCAATCCAATTATTCTCTGTCACTTTACCTCATTAGTTTCTTTCATCACAGCTATCACCAGTTCTCATTGGTGGGGTTTTGGGATATAGGTGAGGTTCAGGGGGGTGGAGTCCGGAGCCGACAACTAAGAAGGAATTCTTGAGACGTCTTTGGTGCAAAATGGTGGTATATTAAAGTACAGGGACAGGACCTGTGGGTAGAAAGAGCTGCTGCCCTGGGGTTTTGAGGGGTGGCTGATTATATACTTGGGAGTTGGGGGAGGTAAGGAAAAGGGAGGTTTCAAAAGGATTTTTGTATGTTAAAGAAGACTCACAGGATACCAGAGGTCTTGCCATTGTCAAGTTAAGGTTGTTTTTCCTTCCAGGAAGGCATTAACAGTAAGATAGTTGGGAGCTTCCTGGAGAAACATTACACTTTGCCCCCTTCAAGTATCTGTCAATGGGCTGTAGGTTATAAGGGCATTTAATTGTATCTACATTCCCTTCTGGAAGCTAGACCATTGATAGAAAGGCTTTGTCCTCGTAAAGTTGCTAAGACTTTTGTAAACTGAGGGAGACTCCTGTCCTGCAAGACTGTGATCTCTATCAGTTAACCATTTGTTTTTCCTTTAGGGCAGCCAGGAGTGCCTGCGCGATGTCACCCATACCACATGTGGGGGGGGTGGGGTGGAGGCTGCCAGCTTCGGGCTGGTCCTCAGCAAGCCTTCTGCTCCTGCACCATCATCATCATCCTTTTATTTCCTACGTGAATGCTTGTTTACCTGTTTTACTGTCAGTCCCTGCCACCAAATGTTAAGCTCCATAAGGCTAGGAACCTCATCTGCTTCCAGTGCATCCTCCAGGGTCAACAAAGGACACAGCATGTAGCAAATGGACCATAAATATAGCCCGCTGGATGAACACCTAATCTCCTCCTGGACTGCGAATCAAAAGACTCAAATCCTGGTCCTATCTCTGGGAGCTGGGTGACTTTACTTAGTTCCTCTCTGTTAAATTGGGGGAATGTATTAGAACATCTTTATGGACCCTCACAGATTTGGAAATTTAAAGGTCTATGATTATTATGGGTAGATTTAAAAATTTTGTTATGTTAGTAGACTCTGAGGGAGAAGGAAAATCAAATGAGATATGAATAAAATAGATTTGATGTCTATTTCTAGATGAAAGAACTCTGATCTCTGATTTCATCAAAGAACAGAGGTGTTTTTTTTTTCAGGTTGAAATCAAAATATCGAAACAATACTCAAATGCTTAGTTATGAAACATGACATTTGCTTTGTATTTAGGGGAAGTCTGATGATCTTGATAATTTCCAAGGGTCCAAAGACAGGTTTTCTATTCTGTACCAAGGAAAAAAGCCAGCTGGGGGCATTCTTCATTTGAATTTAAAGGTAAATTTATAAGCTGATAAAAGACATTATACAAAGTGTCAGACCTTGGCTAAGCTTGGTGTGTGTTGGTGGCCTTTAACGATGGAATCACTTGACAGGCATCTAGGTATATCAGCACTCGAATGGGTAAAAACGTTTTTGAGACGAGCTCAGAGGGTGGTTATAGTGGAACAAACCGGGAGGCATTTACCTTCTTTTCCATTTTCAAAATATTTCAAACCCCAAAACAGTTGACCTTGAATTGTGTGGGTCTACTTAATTAATAGCCCACTCTTAACCAGAAGCCTTACTGATAACATAAACAACTAACACATATCTTATACGTTATATGTATTATATACTGTATTCTTACAATAAAGTAAGCTAGAAAAAAATGTTAAAACCATAAGGAAGAGAAAATGAATTTGTAGTACTGTGCCATATGGAAAAAAATCCACATGTAAGTTTTGGAGGAGTCAAAAGTTATACCCTAACCCCTGCACTGTTCAAGGGTCAACTGTATATATTTAAAATTTTAGGGGCTCCTGGGTGGCTGGCTCAGTTGGTTAAGTGGCTGCCTTCGGCTCAGGTCATGATCCCAGGGTCCTGGGATCCTTGCTCACAAGAGAGCCTTCTTCTCCCTCTCCCTCTGCCTGCCTGCTGCTCCCCCTGCTTGTGCTCTCTCTCTCTCTCTCTCTGTGTCAAATAAATAAAATCTTTAAAAAAAAATAAAATAAAATTTTATCTTCCTACACATACTTTAAGAAATGCATCCCATTAGATTTAATATTTAGACTTAAGAATAACAGAAAGGCTTGGCTGGCCAAGGATCTTCTTGGGAGACCCATTTTACAACCAGTGTTTCAATTTATTTAGCCTATAATCTCCTAGCTGAGATTTGTTCATGCCTTACTTTTTATAGTTTGTAGTCCAAAAACGATAGCTATTTTTTTTTCCCCAAATAGTAAATTATATTATTGAATATATTCTTCTCCAACTACCCTCTCATTTGTTTGGGACCCCCCTCCCTTTGAGGATTAGTGATTTACACAATTATTCTAATTTTGCAGTAGCATAAATACAGTGTGAAC